CTCCAGGAAAAACAAAATGTTGTAGAAAAATGGAATGAAATCAGAACACCATCCTTGGTTCAGCAGTGAGCAATGCTAATTTGGTCATAATAATGCAAATCATTATTAATTTAGTAAATTGTGAAGTTAGCGGGCAGGGAAGGGGGCAGTAAAAATATCAAATCTCCATCTACCATTAAAGGAAGACAGTAGATTATGTCAAAAGATATTAAATCAAGAAAGAGCTGAATAAGTAGTCTTCTTAGATGTAAAAAAATAAAATAAAACAGCTAAAAATTTGAAAGTGGAGGATAAGATTGAGGGATGAGGAAGAATGAAACAAAAGACTGCTGCGCTTTTCTCACTCACTTGAGGAATTGTTTTTTTTTTTAAACCATCTGATTTCATAACTTACTACATAGTTACATTAATCAAGACAATGAGACACTAGCATAAGGATTGACAGATTAATGGAACAGAATTGAGAGCTCAGAAGTAAGTCCTCACATTTACAGTCAATCAACTTTCAAAAAGGATACAAGAAAATTCAATGGGGAAAGAATAGTCTTTTCAACAAATGGTGCTGGGACAACTGAATATGCACATGTAAAAGAATAAAGTAGGACCCCTACCTCACACCATATACAAAAATTAACTTCAAATGGATCAAAGATCTAAACGTAAGAGCTAAATCTAAAAACTATTAGAAGGAAACATAGGTATAAATCTTCATGACCATGGAGTAGGCAATGGTTTCTTTGCTATGACACCAAAGCACAAGCAACAAAGAAAAAATAGATGCATGGACTTCATCAAAATTACCACCATTTGTGCTCCAAAGGACACCATCAAGAAAATGAAAAGACAACCCACAGAATGGGAGAAAATATTTGCAAATCATATAGCTGGTAAGGGATTTGTATGTAGAACACGCCCCATTCTAGTTGTGTGATCTTAGGCAGCTTACTTTCCCTTGCTGGACCTCAGTTTCCTATTCTGTGAGATAAGAGAGTTGGACTAACTGATAATAGAAACTAGTGCTTAAATAGACTTTATAGTTTATAAAGCGTGTTCTTATTTCATTCATTATTATCACATTTAATCTTTATTACAATTCTGTTACTAAGATATTACTGTTATTCCCACTTCACAAATAAGGAAGTTTTCGTTGTCACATTGCTTCTAGGTAGTGGAGTTCTGCCATCTGCTTTGCTCTGTAAGACTGCTGCCCTCTCCCCAGATCCGGACATGCCATGATTCCATGGTAGATCTAGTTTGAGCATCAGGCCACCTGCACATTGTCACACTAACATATTGCACTACACCTGTACACAGAGAGCTTCTTGCTTTTCTGTGAAGATTTGCTCAGCAACCTGATGTGACCTCTACCCTGCCTGGCTGTCCTTCAACACACCCAGGACCTTGCAATTCTCCCTTTAAGAATAGTTGTCAGTCACTGACCTGGGCCAAGAGTCTGAGTAATCAAAACAAGCAAGATTTGACCCAACAATCTCTCTCTTCTCCATTGTGACTTCAAGGGACTATATGATGATTCAAGTTGAAGGATAAATGCAAACAGACCTTGACCACGGCTCTTGCCTCTGCTAACACTGTACTCTTCACTCTCCAGAAGAAGAACAAAGAGGAAAAGGGGGAGGAGGAGGAAAGAGAGGAGAAGGAGGAGGAGGAAGAGGACGAGGAAGGAGCACACTTTATTTCCAATAATTTCCTGAAAAGAGGAAATTAAACCTCAAGTCACATTTGTATTTCGGAGGTGATGCTGGAGCACTGGACTGACTCCTCAACTGTGACTCAGGTTCCTCACACAGGCCCTGCCCCTAGCATTTACTGAAAGTTGCCCCAAAAATGAGCCAGTGGCAGGATGCAGCCACAGAAAGCCAGATCTACAGATGGTGATGCTAAAGCTCAGAGATGTGCAATCACCTCTCCCAGGCCACCCAGCTGGTCAGGGGCAGAGCTGGACTAAAACTTGAGGACTGGATCTGTTTACTCTTGATTCAGTCCTCCTTCTATCACCTATGACCTGTCACTTATGACCTACAGCCATCCTCTCTTAAGGCCCTCACAGCAAGAGTGGACAGTGCTGTGTGCCAAAACCACCTTGTTCCAGGGAAGGCTTTTCTCCCAGAGACAAGATATAGGCGTGAACTCAGCAGGACCGAGTCGTGTACCACAGTGACCCTGGTACACAGCCCATGAAGCGCGGCCTGAGGGTGGAGGGTAGCAGATATTACAGACAACAGACACTCCGCCTCAGCCCAGCCAGGGACACCCAGGGACACTGTGGGATGCCCTTTCTTCACGTCCACCTCAGAGGACAGATTTACACAAGCGTTACAGAGCTGCCTGCAGGAATAGAGTCAAATTTTCTCAGAAATTTATTTTTTTTCAGTTTGGCCTATATCTTGGAATAATGAATTCCATGAGTAAGACAGCGCAGTGGGAGATAATATTCCCTAGTATTAGTTCTCTCCCTAGCTCTGGGTAGCTTCTGGAGCCCTTTGTGGAAGTGTCTTGAGACTCCATGGCCACCAAGACTGGGCCTTTCTTGAAGGTTTTAGCTACTTTAGTCACATCCCCTTGGATTTGGGTCCCTCCCTATAAGAATTTTCCTGTGTCTCTCCACATCATTCTCCCTGCCACCTATTCATCATCTCGTATGCCCCCTCTGCATTTTCTCTGATTCCATGGTTACTACCTTAATTTGTGGTGCTGTGGCTTCCACTCCAGGTTTTGTACTTTGGAAATAAAATGTCTTCTGGTTTGTTTCCAACATTCTGTCTGAGAATGCCCAATATTTTTCTGGCCTATTGAGCACAACAGCTCATTAGTTCCAGTGTCTTCTTTGCTGCATCTAATTGGTAGTTCAGGGCCTATCATCCTATAAATATCTTTATAGTCTCTGCACCTCATCCCTTTCATGAGGGGAAAATGCATCTTCAGCCATTCCATAGTGGAGGCCATCCGACATTTTATGCTACTTTTATAAGAAAAACTTCTTGTGACTCATTCTTGCTGGGTTGGTATTTTCATTTTTAAAAGAACTTAGTGTCACCTGTGAATGTGGGAAGTTTAACACGCATTCTTTTCTTCATATCGTTTGTAAAGCCACTAATAAAGACAAATTCCATTTTCTACTTTTATGGGATTCTTTTTTTATACACTCCTCTATTCATAGGCTATGTTTATGACCTATTTCTGATCTATAATAAAAAATGTGTCCTGACTTACTTTGTAGTGTTTGGTGTTAACTCTTATCAACAGTGTTTTGAAAGTCTGAATGAATTATATCCATTGGTTTCTCCCTAAGTATATGTTTTACATTGCTCTAACAATGTTAACTGGCAAGTCAGGGATGAGTTCCCCTTTTAAAGATTCTTCCTATTTTAAATGTGTAAACAATTTCTGTAACAAGCCCATCCTTTATCATCAATTGTCCTCCCTTTTTGGTGGGTGTGAGAATCAGTAGTGCACTCCTATCAGTGCCCCTGACACCTCCACACCCATCCCACCCCACCCCCACCTCTGTACAGGAGGCCCAGTGCCCATTCACTCAAACTGCACTCGTAGTTACAGCTTACATATTTTAACAAATGATTTTCTAATTTTGTCTTTGAGCTCCTTCAACATTGGAGATGAATATCATCCTGACTGAATGACAATACAAGTGCACCAGGTTTTGCAAATCAGGTAATGCCAGCTCCCTAAAAACATATCCATAAATCAGGTATCCATTGTCCAAGTGAAAAGGAGTCATTGAGGTTCAGGCTGAATGTGTTCTGATGATTTGGGGCTTATACTGAACCCACCAAACTCCTGCAGAGAAGTGCAGTAATCAGAGCCAGGTACTCCAGAGTCAAGTCCAACACCCCTGTCTGATATCCAGGCACCCAGCAGCCCGTGCCTGTGGGCCTCTCCATTCCTGCCTCTGCCTCCATCTCTGCTGTTATTCCCTACCCAGACCAGGAGCATCCCTGCCTCTTTGTACTTAAGCACAGAGTGTATACTAACCTGCAGAATTGATCATTTTTATACGTGTATGTCTTGTTGCCCAAATAGATGGGAAGCTACTTAAGGGTGGGTGCCATGTCTCTTCTCTCTTTGAAACCCTATCACTCAACAACTGTTTCAAAAAGGTAGCAAAATGTCAAAATATTTATAGTACCTAGTGTATTTGCCCACACTCTCTCTTTTGCTGTAAAAGAGCATCTAGTTGACCACATCTGAATTAGGTCATAACTTATTCATTGGCTAGTATGAACAATGCCTCATTATAATCCTCATATCAGGAAATCCACTGTTGGAAGGGATTCAGGGGCAGTTGCTTTTCACTTCTTCCCATGAAGTCTTGGAGTTAATGGATTGTTTTTTCTGTCTTACTTTTATCTCTGAGTCTGAGAGATTTAGGGAAGGCAGAAACCCACAGCGGAAGTAGTGAGAGTGTCGGTAACTCAGCATAAGAGGGACAGGCTCCTTCTCTCCATCCAGCCACGAGGAAACGGGGGCATCCAGTCATTGGGGGCAACTCACCACAGCGACTATAGGTTGAGCCCTAGAAAACCACTCAGCTTATAAAAACCAGGCAAAAAAGTTCCCAAATTGTCAATTTGGCAGCAACACTGAGGAGGCTTTGTCAACTCAGCTGGGAAAATTCCAGGAGGGCCATGTTGAGGAACAGAGGACAAAACCCTGACAGTCTGTTGGGACTGTGCCAAAAACAATCAGAGAACAGGAAGTGAGGTTTGTCATCACCCCACTGGTTTCAGGAGCACACTGTGCTCACCATCACCTCCACGAAATGAGTCACCTCTTGCAGAACCTGTCAGGGCTCAAGTTTAATCAGCCTCACAGAAGCCTAGGAGGGAGCATTGCTCTGTCCTCCCACAAAAGATGGGCCACTTGAGGCATCAAAACATAGAGAGAGAGCTATGGGTTACACAGGTGAGGAGAAAACTGGGGAATGGCACCCAGGCAAGGCGAGGGAAGGGGATCCCAGGGGAGAGGGAAGTGAAGCCTAGTGAGCAGCCCATGGTGACCTGGTTCCGGGGGAGAGAGGTGATCACCAAAGCCTGGGCCTCCTGGATCCACATGTGACAAGGCTTCTGCTCCTACTCCTCACTGCCAGACTCCTCATCGCTGTCCTCCCCCAGAGGAAATTCTCTTGTGGGCTTCTGGGTGGCATACATCCGGGTCTCCATGGGGCAGTTCTGGCTCAGAATTGCCTGCAGTGGGAAAGGAAGAGAAATACTGCACGTCTTTTACCAGTCTCCCCATTCCCTTCCCCAACTAGCTCATCCAAGTCAGTGTTGCTCAGGAAAGACTCAAGAAACAAGAATAGGCCCCTCCTTCTGCTCCATGTATGTGCACAGGCCTCCCAGGCACCTAGGTGTAGTAACCCTGGTCAAGAAAAACATCTGACACGCTTTTAATTGACTCCTATTCGCAGTAGTGCAGGCTACAGCCGAAGTTGTCACCATACTCTGTCAGAGCTGTCTGTCTTCTTTCGTTCCTTTGAACAGCTTCCCCATCCATCTGCAACCCACCCAGACCCTCGGGGTGCTCATGCTGCAGGAAGAGGAAAGCATCCTGTTAACTACAATCATGTGTTGTGGCTCTCTCCCCTGGGGTTTCGTACTTTAAGAGATGACCTGGTGAGGACGCGAAGACGCAAATGAGTGAATGAATGAATAAACGTGCCCCGTGGAGTTGGGCCCATTTGGGGAGATAATGTGGTAATTCACGCATTGTTAGGAACTACAGCAACTACAGGATGCCTTTGACAGTCCCTGTCCCCAACTCTCTACAAACTTCCCATTTTCCTTCTTTACTTAGGACCCTTCCTAACTTCCCTAAGAAGGAGAGTGGTTACATAGAGAAGGGAAATTAAGAAAGGGCGCGAGGGAAAGATAAAGATGAAAAGGGGATCAGGAAACATGGCAAAGCAGAGAGACGGTTAAAGAGAAAGGAAATAAGAGCACAGTATGAAAAGGAATGAGAGAGACAAGGAAAGAAACAGAAGATTATTTTTTTATCGGTAGTCAGAGCCCCTTACAAGCTTCTCGTCCTTGGCTGGGGGGCTCCTTAGGTAGTAGCAGAGAGGAGCATAGATGATGTTGACGACCCCAATGATGACCATGAGCCAGGGGAAGCCGATGGCATGCACAATGGCACCCCCGGTAGATGGCCCTGTGAGGAATAAATCAAATTCACAAGTGTTTATTAAGCCTGATCACATGGAAGATGCTGTGCAAGGGGCAGCAGGTGACCCAGAGGATGTGCCGGGATCAAATATCTCCAGAACACTAGGGTCAGCCTCCTGGTTCCACTTCCAGCTGGAAAGCAGTAGATAAGGGAGAGGGAGACACCAGGTCCTGCGTGCTCCCCTCTCCCTCCACCAACATACCTATAGCAAAGCCCATGCAAAAAGCCACGTCGGCGATGGCATAGACACTCCCATACACAGAGGTGTGGCGCAGGTCCACCAGGTGTCCCATGATGGGCATCATAGAGGAATCCACCATGCCTATGGCCAGAGCAAACAGGACACTATCTGTCAGCAATACCCACAGTCCCCTCCCTGTCTGTGGAATCTTCCCTCCCCCTCCTCCCCTTAGACTACTCATTTTGCCTGCTATCCTTCCACTCAGCACCAACACTCATTCCAGGTGGGAATTGTGAGCCCATCTCTCCAAACCCCTACCAGCCACCCTCCTGCTGCTTCTGCCTTTCCATATACCTCCTTTGATCTGACCCAAAGCAAATGTTCAGGGGCTTCTTGTTTCCTTTAAGGGCACTACTTACCTATGGCAAAGCCAAGCCCTGCATTGGGGCCAATGAGGCCAAAAATGTCATGAGCCAGAGGAACCTGCAGGGGGAGGAGGAAGAGCTCATCAGGAATCCAGCAGAGTCATGTGGGGGCCACACAAAAACAAAGGGTTTTCACATGAAATGCATTTCTTAACCATGAGCTATGTGCCACATATATTATCTATCTGGATTCTCACACCTCCTTACCTCTATTTTAAAGAAATGAAAACTAGGTTGGTGCCATTTGGTTAAATGCCCTGTCCAAAGTCACAGAGCTAATAAGTGGAAGATCAAGTCTGAACCTCAGATTTGACTCCATTAGACCATAACGATGATCCTTTTCTGTTACACGGACTCTCCTTCCCCTTCCCCTATCCCCTCCACCCAGACACACAGTCTTCATTCTTCACTGAACAGGGTTTCCTCTCTTTTCCATTAGCAACATCATCCAAGGTTTTAGTTAAACCCTAACTCGGTAGCCACTGGAGCTAGAAGACAGACAGAAAACACCAATAACCTATTACCCACAAGCTAGAGGGGTGGCTGACATGATCGGGCGCCTCATCAGCAAGCTTGCAGAATCATTCTCTTGCCCTCCCAACCCCCCACTGAAAGCCTTCTGTTCCTCTTTTACTGGTTCCTTACCTCCCTCCCTGGGCATGTGCCACCCAAAGCTGCTACCTCAGCACATGCACTCCTCAGAGGTTTAACAAACCACTTAGATGTTAGTGGCTGATAACAATTTTAGGGATGATTCCTCAAGGGGCATTCACATTTTATCAGTAGTATTGGTTAAGTTTCACTGTGAGCTCACTGTGTGCCAGACACTGCTGTGGTTTATGTGGATTATCTTGACAACCCTGTGAGATGCTATCCGAATCCTGTCTACACAGATGAGATTCTGAGCATAGAGAGATGAGGAACAAAAGTAGCTCAAAGTCACATAAGCAGCAAGTGGCAAAGCTAGGACTGTACCCAGAGCTTGTGCCCCTGGTCAGGACCTCCAGCTGCGCCTGAGCACCTACTCTGGAGCACTTTCCTCAGTGCTTTACAGCCTTGTTCTCATCTCCCTCAAGCCTCGGAAGCAAGTATGCTTATGATCTGCATTGTGGAGAGGAGAAAATGAAGGCTTAGAGAGCTTGAAGGGGGTTCTTGAATGTGGAAAAGCCCTTCTTTCTTTCTTCTTCTACCAAACATTCTGGTGCTGGAGACTGAGGCACAGATGATGGTTCCCCTGATGGCCAGTGGGGTCCTGTCAGGGTGGTATGAGTAACTGAAGGCATAAAATGCATCATTTTGCTGACTCCAGAAATAGATATATTAATATGTATTGTTTCATGTCCCCATACACAGAGACTCAGACCTCTGGCTGCAGCTGCCCCATTGTCCTCTCCCTCTCCTTCCCCACCTCCTTTCAATTGGATGCCTGGTCGCATCTCTCCCCATTCTAAATTTCTACCTACACAGAAACAGTCTTTCTGACAGCCCTTGCCAAGTCCACCCTCTGCTCATTTTAAAGGAAAGTGGTCTTTAAATGTCTGGATCTTTCTCTCTCTCAACTGGACCTCATTATACTTACACAAAGCAAGCTGGTACCTACTACTACCATGCCAATCAGGGAGCAGAGCCACCTGGAAGAAAATAGCCATCATCAAACAGTGCTAAGGGGAGAGATTCCTTCTGCCTGCCACCCCATCACCATCACAATGGCCAGTCCTACCGCCCCTAATTCCAGGAACCCCTTAGGACGTGAGAAGATGAAAGCATCTCTACCTGACCAGTTTGTACCCAGGTGAGGCCTTTCCCTGTCCTGTCCTTGCCTCTCATCTCTTCCCTGGCTCCATATCTCTTCCCATAGTAGAAGCAGAGGAGGTGCAATGGGACCTATTCTTTGTTCCCTTAGAAGGGGAATCAGCTGCCTCGGATGGCACTCGCTCCTCAAGAGTAACCCTCAAACTTAATTCATGCTGTTTCCCAATTCAGACTACCTCTCACCTATTCATATTTTATTTGGTCTTCAAGGTCCATCTCAGAAACCACCAAAAATACCAAACCTCTTTCTTTCTCTGGTTTTCTATAGTGGTGGTTTTAAAACTTATTTTAAAAATCTTTATGCTGAACTCCAAAGATAAAATTAAAGCTGTTCTCACTGTAGTGGAAGAACAGAATTCAGACTCGTACCTCTTAGCTCCCAACCATTTCCACTTGGCAGCCTCTGAAGTACCTCTGTAGAACTCTCTAGGGCTCCATGGAACACAGTTTGACAACCACTGCCCCAAAGCACTATTTTTTTATACCTCTTCTCTGTGGGGTTATTTTTTTCTTTAACTGGACAATAAACATCAGGAAAGTAAAGGTTGTCCCTCATTCACTGTCTCGTCTATAGCAACCAGCTCAGGACCATCCTGTCTCCATACTGCCCTCACACCTACCCATCCCAATCCTCCCAGTGGGCATGTTTTACCCATGTGTATTTATCCTAAACTGTTGATCTCAGAGAAGCTGTTCATCATCCCAGGTGCAGGGACAGTCTCAAAAGGCTCCCCATCTTATATTCCTATTGCTCTTCCCAGATTCCCAGGCTACATACCGACCCATCTTGTTGGCCAACACACCAAAGAGGTTGGTGCCAATGAGGTAGGACACACTGGCAGGCAAGAAGGCCAGACCTGTAGAAAGAAACAGGTCTTCACCTTAGGACATGCCCAGTTTACTCTAAAACACCTTGTTTCCTGTAAGATGGTGAAGACCCCTGTTAACCTTCAAGGATTGCAAACCACTTTGTTTTATGGGTTGGAGATCCTTGTATGAACCCAGAGCAGATGACATCAGGCCCACAGCTCTGCTTTCCTTAGGAGCAGGGCTTCATTTAGCTTCAACACATTCAATGTGCTTCCAGCTCCCCAGTAAGACTTCCTGATGGATGGCCTAATGAGCCATTCTCATGTGTAAAATACCCTTGATCATCAGCATAAGAACACAAGCTTTAGAGAAAGACATACATACTTCCTGGGAAGTAAAATTCCTGCCTTGCTATTTACCTGCCCTTCTATTGCTCTGGTAGTGACCTTGGATAAGTTACCAAACCTTTCTGAGCTTTGGTCTCCACATCTGGGAAGAACAAAGCTATGATTATATCATAACACCTTACACTCCGGAGCAAATTAGATAACATATGTAAAAGTACTTTGTAAACTGAAGCCCTGGTCACATTGCTTTCTGTGGCAGCAGAGGCAAGTGCTCTGGAGCATGGGCTGTCGAGCCACATAGTCTGAATTCAAACCAAGGCTTGAGCACTTGTTAGCTCTGTGGCCACGGGCAACTTATTTACCCTCTCTGAGTCTCATTCCTCCATTCATTAATTCAGTACTTTTAATGAGCTTTTTACTATGTGCCAGGTATTCTAGGGGTTAGGAACGGGGGGGTGAATAAGACAGACAAAAATCCTAGCTCTCAGGAAGCTTACATTCCAGAGCAGGGAGACAGACAATAAATAGTAAACAAATAAATGAAAAAGATAATTTTGAAAAGTCATAACTTCTATGAAGAAAATTTAATGTCATGATATGGCAGAATGACCAGGAATGAAGGCTAACTTATATGTGGGGGTCAGGGAAGTCTTCTTTGAGGAGGTGACATTTAAGCTAAGACCTGAATAACCAAAAGAGAACCTTCCAACAGAGAAAAAAAAACCACCCAATGCAAATACAAAGACCTTAAAGAAGAAACCACTTGGTCTGTTCTAGGAATAGAAGAGAAAGGAGGTCTGTGTGTCTGAAGCACAATGAGCAAAGTGGAGAGTGACAGAAATGTATAATTGGAAGTTGGAATTTGGAATTTATTCCAAATATAATCAAAAGCTTTGGAGGGGAATGACATATTCTAATTTATATTTTTTAAAGTCCCCTGGGTGTGGTTAGAAGAGCGGATTCACAGGCAAGAGTGGAAGCCAGAAGATTATTTGCAGAACCCAGGAGAAAAGTGATAGTGCCTCAGCTTAAAAGTCACTATGGAGAGAAGTGAATAACATAGGAGATATTTTGCAGGTAGAGTCAGTGGAGTTTTCTGTTGGATTGGGTGTGGGTATAATAAGAGTGAGGGAAAGAGAGAAATCAAGGATCACTCCCAGGTTTTTGTCTTAATCAACTGGGTGGCTGGAGATGAAGGAAGAGCTTGGGGGGATCAAGAAAGATTTGAAATGGCTATTAGATCCCCAACTGGAAATGTCAGGTAGTTGAGCCCTCAAGTCTGCGTTCTGAGGAAAGATCCTAAACGCAGATATTAATGCTCGACTCATTGGTTCATCCATGGTTCTTAAAGCCATGGGAACAGCTGGAATTACTTACGAAAGATCAGGAAGACAAGAATAGAAATCCAAGGTCTGAACCTTCAAGGACTCCTACCTCTAAAAGTTATCGAAGAAAGAAGAGATAGCAAAGGTGAAAAGGAGTAGCCAATGAAGTAGGTGAGAGGGGACAGAATCAAGAAGGCAAAATAAAAAAGGAGTTTGGCCTTTGATGGGAGCTGGACCACCTCTCCCATAAAAAGAAGGCAGTGAATGTGGGTACAGGTGCAGGGAAGTAAGTATATTTAGTGATGGAAACATGCGAGCTCCCTTCTCATTGCTTCTATTTTCTTAATGACTAGGAGGTGAGAATGATGAAGCTGAAGAGATGAGGGTGTAGGTGGTTTGAATGGAGAAGTGTAAAACGGTTATTTTGGAAAGTGAGAGGGAGAACATAATAGGGACTTATATAAGGATTGTTGGACAGTGTGAAAACATACTTTAGGTTTGTGGCCATAAATATAAGGTGAGACCAACAGCCTGGTTGTGTGTTTTTCTACAATCCCATTCCACTGCTCAGATGCAGGCAAGGAGCTGGGAACCAGATGGGCCTAACCAGACTTAAGGCTTTGCCAGGTGACAACCCCAGAGGGAGAGTGGGCAAAGGAGTTACCAATGCTTCCAAAGGAGTGACATTAATGACGGACTTGGATCCATCATAGTGGAATCTAAGCCGAGTAAAGAAAGAAGTGAGGACATGAGTCATGACGGAAATAGGACAAGAACTGAGGCCAATGGGTTGGTGATCTTATCGTGGCCAAAATTCGTTAAGTGGGGCTATTAGAAAACCTGAGCAGGGAATATGTAAGGTGATAAGTGGACTGCTTGGAATTGAGATTTCAGAGGTGATAAAATTAATGGTGGCGTCAAGGTCAAGATTATGTGAAGGTTTGATTGGTTAACATGGAGAGGAGAAAACATCATTGCAGGAGAGTAGATTAAGGAATAGGCCAAGACGTTGGTAGGGTTATCCACCTGGATATTGAAGTAATGGTGACAGGAGTAGACATGAGAAGAATATGAGCCAGGAGTTGACAGCTTTAATGAATGAGGATGGGTAACTAAGGGGTCGGTAGATAATTGCAATGAAGAGAGATGGAGTGCTATAATCTAATGACCTGGTCTTAAAAAGATTTGCGGTCTTTGAAGGAGAATGAAGAGGAAATGATTCAAAAGCAGCAAAGTCTGGAGGGACATGGGCTTCCATCAAGACGGCTGCAGGAAAACAGTGTTCTAGGAAACATTCAGGTCTCGGGGCGAGAAGATGAAGGAAGTGTTCAGAGAAGAGGCTGAGGGCATAGGGACACTTGCCGATGACAGGGAATCCCACAAGGCCCAGGATTTGGGAGGGCAATGGGAAATTGGATCAGATTAAGAAATCTCTGAAATATGGGGATAATAATTCCTACCAGATAGGCTGGTTGTTAGGCTTAAATGAGAAAATGCATATCAAGCATTTTGCACAGCGGCTGGCACAGAATAAGTGCCCTCTGAGCATCAGCCGTAAGTATTAACATCATAACCAGTGAGTGACAGGGCCAGGACTTGAACCCAGGCCTTCTCCCTCCAACTCCAGGGGTTTCCACTACCCACACCACCGGTGTGGCAGCACAGATGCCTCTGGCACAGAGGACTGCATGGAATCAGCAGTGTGAGTTTCTTTGGGTCTCACCATCCTATGCCTTTCAGTAACTAGAGGAAACAGTACTGCCTAATAGACACTGTCATAATGATTACAATTAAATTCAAGGTCAACAATGCACCAGTTACTGGCTGACAGCTTGTTTGCTTTTAATATTCTCTTCTGTGGGCTGGAAGTGAAGCATACCTTACTGTATTTGTCTAGTCTATCTGTACAGGGTGGCAATCTGTTTCAAACTGAATGAATACTCATTCATTTATGTTTAATTGCTTTAAAAAAATTTAGAAGTATAGCTACTCAATGATTTACTTGAGCAATGGAAATGGGCACCCCTAGGAAGCCCACTAGCCACCTAATACATCTCCTTGACATCTTTTTAAATGATGTGGAATTTCCTGAATGAGATTTTCCTCAGTCAATGCGGCTTGTTCTTTAGAACCTGAGTATAGCTTGCATTTCAGTGGCATTTTGTGCAAAACAGGTGTTTCAGATTATATGTCTACAGACATATATTTTTCATATATCTTCAAGGGTGGGGGATTACACATAGCTGTGACTGTCAAAATGATTTCAACAAAAACAATTAGGAAAATAGTAATAATTTTTATTTACTGAGTATATCCTGTATTCCACACACTGTGCTAATCCCTTTAGAATACATAGATCTACTGAATCCTGAAAATGACCCTGAATAGCAACTCCATTTTCACAAATGAAAAAAGTGGAGTTTGAAGGAATAAATAATTTCTCTAAGGTCACAGCCAGCAAGTGGCCAGGTCAGGATGCAAACCCAGGTGGGCCTGTTTCCATAGCCTGAGCTCTTTCCTCCAACCAGGGAGAGCAGCGGGTCCCCACTGGGCCACTGAGCGAGTGCTCAGTCACAGACTACAAGTCAGTCTCAGAGCATTGTCTCCTTGCCTCCTCCCAACGACCTTGAGAGGTGTTCTGCACTTAGAGCAATGTTTTTCAAAGTGTGGTCACTGACACCATAGCTGTATCACTGAAACTTACTAGGAATGCAAACTTGTTTCTACTAAATTGTTGGGTGGGGCCCAGCAGCCTGAGTTTTAGCAAGCTCTCCAGGTGCTTTGAGAACTCTTGAATTTAAGACGTTAGAGATGCAGATAGCACTGAGAAGAGGTGTAGAGGACAGTGGGAGACAAGGCCCTCTCAGGGCTCTGACTCACTCTTCTGAGGGATTTCCACTGCGGCCTCCCCTGCAGGAGCAACTCCGTGGCATCAGCCCAGCAAGTTTCCTTGGGTCTCACCATCCTAGGCCTCTAGGTAACTAGAGGAGACAGTGCTGCCTAACAGACACTGTCCTGATAATTACAATGAAACCCCAAGTCAACAATGCACCAATTATTGGCTGACGGCTGGTTTGCTTTTAATCTTCTCTTCTGTAGGAAAAGAATGGCCCTAAGGAGGGCCCTTCTGAGCTGTGGTAGTGGACCCGCACTGGAGACTGAGTAGCCGGAGCCCTGGGGCAGAGGATGCTTATCTGCACCAACCGAACCTACTCACTGGATTAATTGTCATGGTCAGAGGCAGGGGCAGCCCAGAAAAATTCAATTTGGGTCTAGGAGTGCAGCTGGAGCCTTGCTTAGAATTGTCCCTTATAAAATTAAATTTAGAGCTTTTCATTGTATGCTGAGCTATATCAGGTCCTTATCAGCTTCCCCTCTGGCCCCATAAGCCCTGCCCTCCCTGCAGTGACTGAGAGATTCGCACGTAGCCTTCTCTGTCCCCTTCCCTCAGGCTTCCTGGAAAAGGCCCAGGCCTCTTCTCTGAGCTCAAATGAGACACCAGGACATGGAGCCGAGGAGGCTGGAGGCCTCTCTCCTGGGCCTGGAGGCTTCCATGGGTACAGAGCCCAGCACCTTCCCTCGGTGAGGGCTACCGAACATACTCCATAAGCTCCTTTTTAGAGGTGAAATGGTATCAAAAGAGGAATCTGTGGGTAGGGGAGCTGAAGAGAAAAAAGTGTGGATGGTAATGGTGGTGAATGTTAATATTCTACAGATGCAAAGCATTTCCACATAGCATGTCATTTATTCCTCACATTCCACAATACCCTTTCAACTAGATATTATTCTGATGCCAATTTTAGGGATGAGAAAAGTGATGCTCAGAAAGCTCACATGATTTGCACAAGTATGCATAGCCATTCAACGGAGCTGAAATGAAAACCTAAGTCCTTTGACTAGAAATCATTAATCATTCTATCACACAGGTAGGTATGTTGTCATTCCATAGACCCTGTCAACCCCTCCCACCCTGCCCTGCTTCTTGGAGGGACTACCCATCCAATCAGGCTTGATTCACAGGTGTCAACAAGGCAGATAATTCTACGAAGGAAGCACAATGTCCCTCTGTGACCCTGAAGACCTGGACCTGACGATGCTTCTCGATTACCTGAGCAAGGGCCCACGGCACACACCTCTGCTCAACCCTGAATTGGAGACCCAGGTCACTTACCTAGCTGCCACTCAGGGGAGCACATGGTCTGCATCATCCAGATGGGCAGTGTGGGCTCCAGCATGGCCACTCCCATATTGGCAAAGCAGAGGGATCCTGTGGAGACAGTTCTGTGAGCCACTGTGGCTGCCCTGAAGCCCAGACTCTCCCAACCCAAAGGGAGGCATTGCCAGCTTACCTGCAGCCACAAGGATATAATGGTCTTTGAGAAGCGTAAGGAGCGGAGTCCCCCTGGCACTCTGAGAACATGGACAATAAAAACCTTGCATTCATACTGTGGATACATCTGTCTTACTTTCACAGAATCTGAGAATGTGCAGACAGGACCCTAGAGACCATCTACGTCAGCTCCTTTACTATAGAGACCAGATACCCAAGTTGAAAGAGAGAAAATGACTTGCTCAATGTCACAGAGTGAGCTGGTTGCATCGTACCTCCTGTGTGCAAGGCAAGAACTGTGGTAGTCACAAAGAGTGGGACAACATATTCCAGACGTGATTCCTGCTTTTAAATGACCATCAACCAGATCTGAGTGGACTGTGAGAAAGGCCAGCATTGGACAACAGGTGTCTGGACTCCTGGTCTTGGGCCTCTCCACTAGATCTCACTGGTACTAATGCTCGTCCTGGGAGAACCCCAGGCAGAGTGCAGAATCCCCAAGGTGAGCATAGGAGTGATAACTCAGAAAGCTCCTCAAGCTTTCTGAATTCTTCATTTTGATCATTTTGAGCCATATTGGGCTGCTGTAGCAGAAGGAGCTTGAACATCTTGATTAAAAGATCAGCCTAAATGTCCAATTCTAATTTTCCCCTGTCTTCAGAAAATCTTCATTCCAGTCAAAGTCAGTCCCTTCCACCTTCCTTCCATGCAGCCCAGCAGTCCCACAGCCATCATTGTTACCTTTGCCTAAACTCTCTTCCTTTTCCTCTTCACAGCTCCAAACCCTACCCATTCCTACCCAAAGTCAGAGCTTGAATGGCTCTTTCTTTTCTACAGTCCTCCCTGACTCAGTAGCTGGAACTTCTCCTTCTTTCAAACTTCCTGAGCACTGTGTCCTAACTTATGGTGCTTATGGTGCTTACTACCTTCTATTTTGTAATACATTTAATGGTTTCGATATGATAACCCTCTCTGCCTACACACAGGGGTGGATTAAAATATTCAGAGATACTAAAACTAGAAAGATCATGCTCTGCCCCCCTACATAATTCAAAGTAAAGAGACAGATCTAATCATAAAATATGTATAAAGAAGTCCAGTAAACCCTTTGACCCAACAATTCCACTTCTAGGAATTTAGAAATTGCTTCTAGGAATCTAGAAATTACTCTGAAGATTACCTCCAACATTACGAAAATGCGTATACACAGGTTATTAATTGCAGCACTATTTGTAACTGCAAAATACTGGAAACTACCTAAATGCCCCAACATTGGAGACTGAGTAAAATATACAGACACAATGGTGTAGCATACATCCAGAAAAACAATAATTTAATTTTTTTAATATATAGAACATTACCATTAAAAGTCTAAATTATTCAAAAAGGTATTAAAGGAAAATCGTTTCTCTACTCACAACACTTCTGATACCAAATGTGTGGGCTTTTCACACAAAGCAATTCTCCAATTCTCTGTGGACATCAACTGGGTGTCCCTATAATTTAATTCAATTCTGCCACTACCTAGACTTAGTGCAGATCCCAGACCCCACAGGTGTAGGCTCAGTCTCACAAGACTGCCCCCCACTTCAGATGCCAATCTCAAGTAGTGAGTTCCCAAGTTATCCACACTTCTGTCTGACTTGGCTACAAAATCAAGGTCTTTAGATCAAACTTTTCCAGGCTTTCTGCACTTTCTTATCTTTCTTTCTTCATGGCTTGATAGGGATTTTCCAGAGCCACCTTTGGCTTAGAGTCAGACAAATACCAACTGTGATATTTAACTTTGACAAAATGACAGTCTGTAAAGATGCTCTTGGAGGAGAGGTTGTCTGGACAGCTTCTAAGATCTTCTCTAGCTCTGAGATGTCATAACTATGAATCCTCAGGTCCCACTGTCATTATCTCCTGGTTCTGAGTTATTATATGTATATATATATTCCATAAGGTTTCTTTAATTTTTTGTAAGGCCCTTCCTCCAACTTTGTCCAACAGGAAGCCGGACTCCCTCACCATCACCCACACTACCCTAAATGTGACCCTATCTGGGAATCCAAGTACAGCTTTCACTTTCCCTGACTCCATCCCCTTCACCTTTCTTCTTATGGTTTGACAGGGATGATGTAGGGACACCTGGGTCACTGCCCTTTGCCATTCTATATACCTCTTGGCAATGGAGCTTGGTGTCTACTTACCTCGGGAGAGACCTGGGAAGGCCGCAGGATACAAAGCTGGAGTGCTAAGAAAGAAAGAGAGAGACTGTTCAGTTTGTCCACTGATTAGCTGGAGGCCCCAATAGGAGCCACATTGCTATCATCCTCTCATGTGCAGATCTAACTCCTGAAGCTTCTTCCTTCTTTCCTAAGATGGAGCAGTCCTTGATCTATCCATACAAGTCAAGACCGACACCACAGCATAATGCATTCCCAACCTGACCTGGGCCATCACCTGCCTGGTGATCTTCTTTTTTTTTTAATTTTTTTTATTGTGGTAACATTGGTTTATAACATTGTATAAATTTCAGGTGTACATCATTATACTTCTATTTCTGCATAGATTACATCATGTTCTCATGTTCACCACCCAAATGCTAATTACAGTCCATCACCACACACATGTGCCTAATCATCCCTTTTGCCCCCCCTCTGGTAACCACCAATCCAATCTCTGTCTCTGTGTGATTGTTGGTTCTTGTTTTTATCTACTACTTATGAATGAGATCATACGGTATTTGACCTTCTCCCTCTGACTTATTTCACTTAGCGTAATACCTGGTGACCTTCTATGGCAACTTACCTCCATCCAGCAGTGCCAGAAAGGCCAAGATGAGGAAGGGTACAGACTTCCCAACAAACACATACATCACACTTCCGAAAGGAGCTCCCACTGGAAAGGCAAAGCCAGCACAGATTCCAGAGGTGAGGGCCAATTCTCAGCCAGCGTGACAGGTCCACATTTACCCAATGAGTATTTACTGAAGGCCTACTAGGGGCTGAGCTCCACGATCTGGGTTCTGGGGATTCAGAGATAAAGAAGACCTGGTTCCAAGGCGCTCACTTTCTAGGAGAAGAAATGTGTGGTGGAGGGGAGGAGGGGTACCCAAATAATTGGAACATGGTGAAAAGTAAAATTAAACAGTAAAGGTTCCATCTACAAAGTGCTATGTAAGCACGATAAAGTGAGTTCAGCTGGCAACAAGGGCTTTGTCAAGTGGGTAAAACCGATGCGGAAGAAGCGTGTGTGAAGAACACAGACGTATCAAAAAGAGTGTGGTTGGAGAAGAAAGAGAAAGTCAGTGTCACTAGAATATGAATAGTTGGGTGAGGGAGAGTAGAGGTAGGGAAGGTTGAGGCCAAATAGACAAGGGCCTCATGTATTTAGATAAAGAATCCACCTGGCCTTGTGGGCTACAGAGAAACATCAGTGCTTTTTAGCAGGGGAGAAATACCACCAGCTCTGGGCATAGGAAGCTGCTTCGGGCAGCACCTTGGAGGAAAGAGGGAATGCACAAGAGATCAGGCAGGAGGCTGGTTCTGTATTCCAACTGAGACACGATGAGGGATTGACTGGAAGAAGTGGCTGTAGAGAACATAAGGGGCTTATTCCTGTGAGAGTGAGAGGTAATAAAGGAGACCAGGATGCACCACAGTTTAGCTTGGGTGTCTGGGTAGTTGAATACTAACAAAGAGCAGGAGTTTTGTCCCCCTTCCTCCCCATGGTGGTAGAGGGTGGGGTGTGGGCCAGGGAAGAGACTTTTGGTGTTTTTCCCCAGTTAGCTTGTAAGCTCCTAGAGGGCAGGAACCATGTCTGAGGCTTCTTACCTATACCCTCTCTGTGCAGCACTGTGCTGGGCCTATAATAAGTGCACAGTAAAAGTCTGTGGCTGTTGGACTAGCCAATCAAACCCTATGAGGGACGAACCTCAAAGAAAGTATAACTTTATGTTTTGGAGCTTGGGATTCAAGCCAGAAACTCTGAATCTGTGTCCTGGCTCTGGCATTTCCTGACTGTGTGACCTTGGATGGCTATTCAATCTTTCTTATCCTCATCTCTGTAATGGGGGCAATCATTCCTCCTTCAGAGTGTAGTGGTGAGGATTAAAGGAGATTATATCTATAACACATTTAGTATGAAATCTGACAAAGAGCACGCTCTCATGTTGAAAGCACTGTCCATGTGTGGAAGCAGACGTGAGGCAGTGGCTGCTAACAGGGGGAGATTTACTCCCTTGAATAGACTAGGTTTCTAGACCATGCCCAAGCCATTATGGGCTATTCAGCTTCTCAAGGGGAGATTTCACCTTTCTTGGGCAAGATTTCAGGACTCAAACATAATTGGACAGAGAAGGAAGACAAACACTGTCTTCCATGACACACCTGCCTCCCAGAGCTTCTTTGGAGAATCTGCAATACCCTATCCCTGGAACCCAGATCTGGGGCCAGATGCCACTCACCCAGCACTCCCAAAGCCAGGCCCCCCAGTGCAATTCCCATGGCACGTCCTCTCTCATAGTCATCAGTGTAGACACTTGCCAGCATCCCAAGACCTAAAAAGAGAGTGACAGATGGAGCTGGCATATGGAGCTCTCTGTTTGCCCCTCTCACAGAGTCCTTGGTCTCTGCACTATTATATCTTCAGGGACCATTTCAGCTAGAGTTTCAGTTTGAGGGGTTTTATAAAACTTAACCCATAGTATTTTACAAACACTGCCCCACTGATCCCCCAAACTGCCACATTGCTCACTCCTTCTACTCAGAATGTTATCGGAAGTCCAAAAGTTCAGGGAAGGGTGACACAGAATGCCACCGTCCAATGATACCACATTCCATATCATTTTACCATTTCCTAGCACATTTTCCTGAATGAATGGATATGGAGTAGGCAAGGAAAGGAAAACCTATGAACACAGAGCACTGTTCTATTCAAAGGGAGTTCCCAAGGGGGAGTATGAAAGCACTGGGTACCTGGAAGAGAACGAGGGCTGGACTCTTGTGTCCGTTCACTCATGTGTAAAATATCTACTTCATAGGGTTACGTTCAATATTGTATTCGATAAAACTTTGCAAACTGTGATGGTGTTGCTGACAGTATTAACATTACTGTTCCTATAAAATGTTAAGAAGGGGACAGAGAGAAGACCATAGAGGGGCATTAAATAAAAGCCCGGCCTACTTCATGGTTTTACCTCAGGCTTGCTCTGGCCTGAGCTAGCTGCATCCAGATGTTGTCAGAGGAAGTTATGTCAGGCTTAAGGAGTGAGAGGCACTGCCAGCAACTCTACACTTATCTTGTTTTTGAATCACAATTTCTGCCTACTGGGATATTTTCCTTAGTTTCTTCACATAAATCTTTCTTTTTTTTTGTGAGAAAGATCAGCCCTGAGCTAACATCCGTGCCAATCCTCCTCTTTTTGCTGAGGAAGACTGGCCCTGAGCTAACATCTATTGCCAATCCTCCTCCTTTTTTTCCCTTTTTCTCCCCAAAGCCCCAGTAGATAGTTGTATGTCATAGTTGTACATCCTTCTAGTTGCTGTACGTGGGACGCTGCCTCAGCATGGCCAGAGAAGCCATGCGTCGGGGCGCACCCGGGATCCAAACCCTGGCCGCCAGTAGCAGAGTGTGTGCACCCAACTGCTAAGCCACAGGGCCGGCCCCCCTCTTCACATAAATCTTACAGGGTCTGCGGGGACTAAGTGATGTGCATGTGTGAGTGAGATGTCAGCGTTACCTGCCACAGATGAAAATGAAGATCCAATGCCTTGAAGGGTTCGGGCCACAAAGAGCAGGGTATAGGTACCAGAAAAGGCAAACACTGGGCAAAGAGCAGAGCGAGAATGCTCCAGTTAGCAAATCACCTTTGTTCCCTGGCACCAGAAAACGTGCCCACGGTGTTACAGACAAGAGCAATAAAGCATGATCACTGCTCCCTGTTTTTGGAGTTGTCTTTCTAGTCTCCCACCCCTTAATCAGGATTGCATTTTAATTGGCATGAAGACTGAAAAACCAGAGAGGCAAAAACCGATTCACCACTCAGTGGATGGAAGCCTGATTTCCAATTTCCTGCCCCAAAGCCCAACAGCCTCTCCACTGGAATCGGGGTTGTCCAGCAAGTCGAATGCACTGGGCTGGAAACTGGTCCTTAGACTCTACTTCCAGATCTTCCATATGTAACACTCAGATTTGACCTTTACCATTGTTGGGCCCCACGGGGTTATCCAAAGTGTGGAGACAAAAGAAGTTATATGTACTTGAAGGATCACAGGCATTAGGCAGAAAACAATATCTTGTGATCCAATTGGATCTTTCCCCTTACCCTATATTGGAATAGCTTTTAGCCAAATCAAATCAGTAAGTATTCAGAAATACTGAACACGCAGCTGTGCTAGACTCTGCAGCAGACGTGAAACAAAGAGCACACAGTTCCTGCCCGTGAAGAGGTTCAGTCTACTGGAGACTACAGACACAAAACTGAGAACCAAACAGGCACATGTCAGCAAAAAACTAAATGACAGGGTGTCAGTGGTAAGGCGGTAAGTCCAGACACGCCTCAGCTCCAATTCCAGGACAACGCCCCCGAAAGAGAGAAGATTCACTTCCAAAGTATTTGAATCAGCAGAGTTTGAACCCCTCTGCCCATTCATTACAGATATCTTTGGTTGTCTGATGTCTCACGATCCTCTCCCATAACCTCCCGACATGATCACACTGTCTCCCAAACATGCACATGCTGGGTCTCTCCTTGCCGGGCCTCCAATGCCCTCTCCCAGGCTTTCTGATTTCCAGTCTGTTCAAGGTCGGCTAGTCTTATGTCCTTTGAGAAAAGAGTGACCAACTCATCCCAGTTTGCCCAGGGCTTTCATAGTTTTAAAACCAAAAGTTTGGGAGGCCTCTCAATCGCAGGCAAAGTAGGACAGTTGGTCACCCTATTTAGGAAGACTAAAGCAATTTCGTTTTCACTTTGTGCACCCCTACCACAGGCCACTATTTAGCTCCTAAGTACATTAAGCATGGTTCCCAGCTTGGAGCCCTTAGGGTAGTAATGGGCATCAGCAACCTCTTTTTTAGTATTTAAAAAACCCTAAACGAATGCTACATAGCAAACCAAACGTTTGCTAGAATTTAAGCCACCTCAGTATAGCAACCCGGTTATGGCACGGAAACAATAATTATTATTTAATACATACAGTTTGGTCAATAAGAAAAGCTTTCAAACATGAGTTCTTGGCAAACAATCTGGCAGGGACCTTATGCCAAAGAGCCTGGGAGCCTCTGGCATCACCCTACCTTGCAGGGTGTTTGCGTGTCTCCCTAGGCAAACTCACAAACTCCTGGGCAGCTGGACCCACATCTTTTCATCCTTTACATGCCCTCAGTGACTTCCGCCATCGAGGCATGATATATGTGCTTCATAAAGTGTTGTGGAATGAACTATAAGTCTCATTTGATGAAATAGAGCATCTTATCAGTTTTTAATTTACTGTTTAGCATAGGCTGAGCTTCTAGAAGCTAATAAACATTTCTAACTTGAATTTCCTCATTTTCTTTGATTCAGTTAGAATTTCAAAAGTAAGCTGCAGCTCTCAGACAGAAGTTCACACATCAAGCTCTCGCACTTTGCAGCTTTCCAGCCCCGAATGCAACAAATTCCTGTTAAGCATGGATTGACAGGAGTCAAAGGGAAGGGAAAGGGAAGGGAAGAAAACTTGAGGAGAAGCAATAGAAAAAGCAGAAAAGTAACAGAAAGGTGATAAGAAAAACAGGAGAGGAAGGAGGTCAGCTGTTTGGAAGAGAGAGTCAGCAGAGTCAGCAGAGGCACCAGGAGCCCCGGGAGGGTCCACAGGCTGCCTTCCCTGGATTAACCTCCCCCTGCCCCACATTCAGTTCTTTTTATTTTAATTCTCAGGGTAGATTTCCAGACATATTTTTTTCATTTACTGTTCTTATTCCATCTCCATTTTATTAGGAACATTTATCTGATACTGGATAGAGTATTTGTCTTTCTCTTTCTTGTTTCTTTAGCAGATTTACTTTCCTAAGCTATAACCTTTAATATCCTGACTTGAGGCACTATATCTTTTGGAATTTTCCAGCTGCTATTGTCCAATTCAGATTCTTTGTTAGTTGCCCTTTACCTTTGCATATCAAAATAATATGACCTCTTCCAAAGATGGGAGGTTTATACTAAACTCACTCAAAGATTACTGATAGATACACACACACACACACACACACACACACACACACACACATTAAGACAGCCTTCACAATTTTCCCCAGCTGAAGGAAGTGAAGGATCTGTTCTTCCAGAGCAGAATATACAAATCCCAACTAGACTGAGCTGCCTCTACTGCTCTGGTCCCCATGCCAAAAACTGCAAAGCATTTCAATCAGTGTCATAGGCCACTTAGTGAGATGCCTAATTAGCTAACTTGGGCCTGCTCTCTTCTTTGCAATATATGTGATAAAATCAAAGCCAATCAGTGGAAAGGGAATAAAAAAGGAAGCAAATTACTTACTAACTGTGGAGAGAAACATGATGACAAAGCCAGCAAACATGGGAACGTGATATCCAATCCTAAAAGGGAATTTACAAAAAGATACAGTTCCAATAGGCACCCATACACTTGGACTGTATATTTTTATGCAATTGGGAACACAAAAGCAGTTATTTGAGTACATGGTAAAACATGTCTCTGACTGCAGGTATAGAGATGGAATATGACATGTGGATGCGTATAAGCAAATAAACAAACAGGCAAATCTACCCATAGACCGGGGCCAAAATCCTCTTTTCCAGAAAGGATAGCCTAGTGAGAGTGTATATTCCTTTGAAACATCAGGATAATCCCAAACCAACTGCTAAGAAGCCAGCGCTGTAGATTACAATAGGCCTGCCCCATTCCCACCCTCATCCTATTGGAGCCTCGTTCCAGGGCACTGAAATAACATCAACAGTACACTTCTGTTCACTGGTTCTCTTCTTGGTACTCAGTAGTCGTTATACCACTAAGAAAATTGGAAGACCATGGCATTTCATCAATATCATGTTCTCCTTTGGGATAACCAGCTTTCCAAGCAGCTGACTGTCCTGGGGCACAGACAAGTGAGTTTCCCTTCCTTTTTCCTTCTAACCAGCCTTTATGACACCTCAGCCCATCCTTTTATTCCTGAGCCACTGAGCACTGTGTGGAGCACTGCACCCACTGAGATACCTGTTGGTGAGAGGCCCCACGAATGGATTGACCAGAAGTTGCATCAGAGCCTTTGAAGCAAACAGAACCCCGACCCATATGTTCTCTTCCTCCAAGAACTCTGTGCCTTGCAGGCAGTTGTTTTTATGTTCTGGAATGGCTCCAGCGACTGGAGGAAGGATGGTGCCATTTGTCCACGCTGTGCCACTGGGTGCACTTTCTTCAACAGCCATGGTGTTGTTTTCAAAGAAGGAGAAGATGGTGGAGAAGGCAGAAGAAGTGAGGGCATGTGAGGAAGTCGTGGCGGAGCGTGGGTGCAGAGAAGTGTTGACTTCTTTGAACTCGGTGGCATATAGGAAGGTGGGCACAATGGGCACTGAAAGTCAAGAAGGACAAATGATGAGGGCTAATGAATGTCTTTTTACCACTAGTCAGTTCAGGGGCATCACTGTGAGGTTCAGACTCATGCTCGAGGGAGGTGTCTATGTGCCATTATTTGAAGCTTACCCTAAGACTATGAAGACTGTGCCTGCCCAAATTATCCTATTAGCTCAAGTACCTAAATTCCAACTGTCATACAGTTGGTCCTCATTATTCGTGGATTCCATATTGGCTAATTCACCTACTGGCTAAAATTTATTTGTAATCACAAAAGCAATTCTCGCAGAGCTCTCACAATTTTTCCCAGACACATGTGCAGAGAGTGGGGAATATTTTGAGTCGCCAGATGCTCACTTTCCCAGCCGAGTTTGAACAACATTCCGCCTTCTTGTTTCAGCTCTTACACAGAGATGGCAGAGAATGGAGATGGTGGAAGAACGGCAGTGCGGTGCAAGAACTCCAGCTCTGGGGCCGGTTGACAGAGCTTGAAACCCAGCTCCGGCACCTGTTTTTGAGGCGGCCTCAGGCAAGTCACTTAACACTGAATCTCATTTTCTCTTTTGTAAAGAAAATAGAAACTACTAGGATGCATTGTTTTTAGGATTTAAGACTATAATCTGTATGGGATGTGTGTGTGTGTGTGTGTGTGTGTGTGTGTGTATGTGTGTATTTCCCTTAGGAGCGATGATTCAGTACTGGCTAAACTCAGTGTTTGCAGTGACTTTATAGAGCATAACTACCACGAATAACGAGAATTGACTGTATTGGATTAACAATTTGTCTCAGCAAGATTCTTGTTTAAAAGCAAATATTTTACCCAGGAGGGGCAATATGTTAGCACCCATTTATATACTGACATAACTGAATGTAACGATTCATAGACTACCAACCAAAAAAGGCGGGACTCTGAGGTAATGAACCACAAGAAAGGGAAGCTTTGATAAGGAGTTGGGTATCCATATAAACTATGTTATTTTGGTGGTGCAGAAGCTGGAAAAGCAACAGTGAGAACATGCTCACTATCCCAGAGGCCACCTGGGGTCATAAGCACCTTGGGAAGATAGTGTGGGGAGGAAGAAAAGTAATGCCAGCTCTGGCTCCAGGTCAGCCTCCTTTTTGGTCAGATGTTCTCTGAACCTCCTTTTTGACCCTCTGGGGTCTTTCAGCAATGGTTGGCAAACTGCAGACTCCATTTCTTGCTCTTCCCTCCAATCCCCAGCAACCTCTGTGTGTTTTCAAGCATAAAAAGAAAAATTCTCTAGTCCATTCACTGCTGAAATCTAGCAGGGTGGGTGCTGCCCACTGGGGCCCAGAGCAAATTAGCCCCCAGCAGAAAGACCCCCAAACATACCCACCACAGTAAGCAGCATGTTGTCCAGGAACAGAGCAACAAACACCACAACCAGTACCAGCTTCTGGGACTCTCTCCCCTCCTTCAGCAACCGCTGAGGAGCATCCACAACCGCCCTGAGCATGGTGAGGGCTGGGCTGGGGGCGTCTTCTCCTCCAGGTTCTTAGGGAAGGTCCTGCTACAGCGACAGGTCTTCGGCAGCCTTTACAGAAGAGGGGAGACAGTCTGCCCAGACAAGTGAAACTCATTATTGAAATGAAAAGTGCAAAGAGTTGCAAGTAGGAGGATGGTATTTGAACCTTTTCCATGCTTGTGTCTCTGTTCACTTCTTATACATATCAATAACTCTCCCTGGTTCCCAGAATGCCTTTCCAGAAAGCATTGCTTACCAACTTCTTATATCTGGAATTCTACCTGGCAGAAGGGCTCGAGATCACCGAGCTCTATGTTTCTCAAACATCAGACATTTGCCTATCACCTTGATGGTTTATCTTATATCTGAGGACTACTTGTACTATTATTTACTTAATCTTTTCCTCTAAATCCACTCTTTTTAAAAACTGAAAGACTACTGTTTTAAAAAATAACTTTATGTGCCATGGCAAAAAAAAAATTTGTACCACCCAAAAATATCTCAAGTGCCACAAGTGTTGCTGTGCTGCCCATTGAGAAGCACTGAAGCAAACCAGCCCCCTCATCTCACAGATGAGAGGCGGAGCCTCAGGAGGTTAGCACCTCGATCTAGGCTCGCACAATTCATGTCAAACGAGAATGAAATCCCAAGCTTTTTAACGTGCAGGCTTGTACTCCACCATCTTCCCTTGCTCTGTGGTACTAGAAACACTCCTATTCTTTTATTTATGCTGTAAACCCATGCTCAGAAAGGTGTGTTACTCTGTATAAATAAAATACTAACTTTCATGATTAGTTTTCTACTTAGGATTTCATGTCATTAGTCAGCATTAAGTCACAGTATTTTGTTAAACTCTAGGTAATAATAGTTTCTGGGAAGAATTTCATTTTCTTTTATGTTGCTTCTGTTGTGATATCAACCATTCCAATCATATAAATTTTAAAATAGATTACCGTTATTTCAAAGAGACTTATGCACCCCTATGTTCACCGCAGCATTATTCACAACAGCCAACACTTGGAAGCAAAACAAGTGCCCAACAATGGATGATTGGATAAAGAAGATGTGGTATATATATACAATGGAATACTACTCAGCCATAAAAAAAGACAAAATCATCCCATTTGCAACAACATGAACGGACCTTGAGAGTATTATGTTAAGGGAAATAAGCCAGACAGAGAAAGACAAACACCACATGATTTCACTCGTATGTGGAAGATAAACATATGGACAAAGAGAACAGATTGGTGGTTGCCAGAGGGAAAGGGGGTTGAGGGAAAGGCAAAAGGGGTAAAGGGGCACATGCGTATGGTGACGGATAAAAATTAGACTATTGGTGGTGAGCACGATGCAGTCTATACAGAAACTGATAAATAATAATGTACATCTGAAATTTCACAATGTTATAAACCATTATGACCTCAATAAAATAAAAAATAAATTAAATAAAATAAATTGCAATTGGATTTAGAAGAAATAAACAGAAAAAAATAGATTACTGTCATGAAACACCTCAGGCTCTAAAAATTGTATACCCTTTGATTTGGAAACTATCCTAAGAAAGTGTTCAGAAGTGCAGCCAAAGATTTATGTTCAAAATTATTAATTGCTGAATTATTTATATTAGTGAAAAAAGTGAAACATTTTAATGGTGGAATATAAGTAGGTCTTAAAAATAGTGTTTTCAAATAATTTCAGTGACTTAGAAAATACTCTAAATATGTTAAGTAAAAAAAGGATATTAAACTGTATTTACAGCTTGACCTCAATTGTATAAAAAATAAATATACATGCAAATAAAAAACATAAATACATTTTTAAAAGACTAGAAAGATACACACCCAAATGCCAGCTATTATAATCAATGACTTAAATTATTTTCTTTTTTCTTTTCTGTAATTTCTAAATTTTCTATAATTAACTATTTTCATAATACAAGAAGTAAATAATTTTAAACGACTATCATTAGGGGTCAATAATCAACCTCAAATGTTGGAAGTGTCCCAAGCACTGAGCCACTCTGTTCTACAGCCGGGCCTGGAAGAAGAACATCGTCCATACTACAGTTCCAAGTGACCAGTGGGCCCCCACTGAACCAAATTCCCAGATAATTTTAACCAGAAAATGCACGCAATCATTTAAGACTCATCATTTCTCTGCAAAAATAAGGTATTTCTAAAAACAAATTCACTTAGGATACATAAGAAATTTATACATAAGAAAATAAGAAGGGACTAAAAGAAAATCAATGAAAAACTAAAAGATGTAAAATGGAATGAAATAAGTACTATAAGGACAGACCAAAAATATACAAACAAACAAAAGTCAAACCAGGAATTTGCCAACAAATCGGTAGGATACTTTACTTTAAAGTCAAAATTCTCTGTAGAGAAACACAAATTACAAGGAAGGATTAAATGGGCAGAGAGAGAAACATCTTACCTTCAAGTCCGTCCTGTGTGAGGTACTCAGTGAGTGGCTCGCAGCTCAGCAGGGACTCTGTTCTCTGCAAGTGGATGTGCTGATGGATTTATTGCCGCCTGTTAACTGAGGATGCCATGTGTGCCCTTTGTCCACAAAGATATAATTGGAACCTCTAACAGGTTTCATTCAGGCCCTTAGCTCCCTGCGTCAGAGGCAGGAAAGCAGACTGGAGAGGATAAAGAGAGGGGAGAAATTATCTAAACAAAGATGCACTGGGCCGCACTGTTTTTCATTTGTGCTTATCTATCCTTAAACTCTTCAACTCTTGCCAGGTCTGAACACAAATTGGAAGACAAAATGGAACCAGACTGCAGTTCCTGTCCCTTGCTACTTAGTCAAAGAGGCTCCACGTACGCTAATCGCTTTCTGGAAAGAAACAAATCTTAGAACACTCACAAGAACAACAACAACAAAAAATCTATGCATGTTATTCTTAAAAATCTAACATCTATGGCCCCAGTAAAGGCATAGATTGCGGGCTGCCACCTATGCCATCAATGATAGCTCAATGCCTGGCACACAGTAGCCTCCAGTAAATATTTCTTGTTTGGATGACTGGATGGAAGGCTACATGAGAGAGTATGGCTTACTGTGAGATCTTTGAGTAGCACTTTAGATCTATATTTTTCTGACATTAAGAATCATCAGTGAGGGCCGGCCCCGTGGCTTAGCGGTTAAGTGCTCGCGCTCCGCTGCTGAAGGCCCGGGTTCGGATCCCGGGCGTGCACCGACGCACCGCTTTTCTGGCCATGCTGAGGCCGTGTCCCACATACAGCAACTAGAAGGATGTGCAACCATGACATACAACTATCTACTGGGGCTTTGGGGGGGGGTGAAGAATCATCAGTGGGGCAAAGAACAGAAACAATTTACAAAAGAGCAAATATAACTCATGAGCAAGAGTGGCCACAGAGGTTTCATAAATGTGGAACTGGTGGGCCCTCCTAATTGTCTTCATTAACTTGGGGACTTTCAATTTAGGAAAGAAACTTGAAGGAAACCTGTAAAAAGAAATACAGGGAGGCAGGATGTTAGGAGGGTGTATTACTTTCCTATGCTGCTATAACAAATAACCACAAACTTAATGGTGTAAAACGCACAATGGCTTAAAACAACACCACATTTCTTCTAGAGCTATTATCTTAGAGTTCTGGAGATCAGAAGTCCAAAATAGTTCTGATTGGGCTAAAAATCAAGGTGTTTGGCAGAGCTGCAATCCTTCCGGAGACTCTAGGCGAGAATCCGTTTCCTTGCCTGTTCCAGCTTCTAGAGGCTGCCTGCATTTCTTAGATGGCTCCCTTCCACCTTCAAAGTCAGCAGCATAGCATTAACTCTCTCTCATTTAACTCTCTCTCTCTCCCTCTCTCCTTCTCTCTGACTCTTAGCCTCCTGTCTCCCTCCTTCACTTATAAGAACTCATATAATTACATTGAGCCCATCGAGGTAATCCAAGGTATCTCCCCATCTCAAGATCCTGAACTTAATCACATCTGCAAAGACCCTTTACCATATAAAGTAACATATTCACAGGTTCCAGGATTAGGATGTGGACACCTCTGGTGGGGGTAGGAGGGGCACTGTTCTGCCTACCACAGGAAACATGGCATACTGGCTCCTTTACACATTCTGTGGCCTGAGCTTCTATGGGGAGAGGGAGTTAGGGCCAAAAGATGGAGGAGCTGTATTAATAAACATATTTACAAGACTCCAGGCATAAGGCAGTGTCCTGTTTGGAGCCCAGATGACCCTTCTGCCACCATGCTCTCCACCCTACGTGCAGTTTTGTTGCTCTGAGGTCTTAGGGAAGCCACCAGCAAAGCAAAGCTGTGTCTAGTAGAGAGCACCAGCAGCAGAGAGCTTGGGTAGAGCACCTCCACAGGGAAGATAAAGCTGTTCTGAGACACGACCAAACTGGGGACACTCCAAATAACTGGAAAACCATGGTCTGGGGGAGCTGAGGGCCTGGGAGAGCAGGTACAGGCTAAGAATCATCATACTTTGGGCATTAATAGAAATAACAGAAACAATAATAATAGCTATCATTTATTGAGCAACTACTACCTCAGGCATATTTCTAATGTATACTTATATATTTTATATACATATAACATGTATTACACATTACATATATGTTTCAGCCAACTGTAACCACGCTAGTATTCACAGGCTAGCCAAGCCTGGAGGTTCTCGCAATGCCCATCACTGTTAATAATCAGAGTGTTGTCTGTTAAACAGGAATGAGTTCTTACCTTCCTCCTGTTTTATTTATTTATTTTCTTTTGTGAGGAAGATTGGCCCTGAGCCAACATCTGCCAATCCTCCTCTTTTTGCTGAGGAAGACTGGCCCTGGGCTAACATCCATGCCCATCTTCCTCCACTTTATATGGAACGCCTTCACAGCACGGCTTGCCAAGCAGTGCGTCGGTGCGCGCCCGAGATCCGAACTGGCAAACCCCGGGCCGCCTAAGCGAAGCGCGCACTTAACCACTTGTGCCACCAGGCCA